TTTCAGTCCTTTGCTTTAGCAGTAGGCTAGTCATCGCAAGGCTCGTCATACACGCCTTTTATTCCTGTGGTGTTACCTCAGTTCTAGGAAGGAAGGAAAGAAAGCACAGTGCAAATCTGCTATAGGGCGATATTTTAAATATATTTTTATTGATTTCAGAGAGGAAGGGGGGGGGAGAGAAACATCAATGAGAATCGTTTATCGGCTGCACCCCCCACACTGGGGATTGAGCCCACAGACCAGGCATGTCCCCTGACTGGAAATCGAACCGTGATCTCCTGATTCAGCCACTGAACCATACCAGCTGACCTGTAGGGTGATATTGACTAAGAAGTGTTATGAGGTGTATCGAGGAAGGAAGAGTTGGTTTTGTCTGGGAGTGTGAGGGAGATTTCATGGAAGAAGTGACATTTGAGCCAGGGGTTGAGATGGGAGATGTTAGCAGGCAGAGGAGACGTGGAAGCGGAAACCCAAGTGCACGTTTTGCTGAAGCACATAGACCACTTGGCTGGCGTATAGGGAGGGGAGAGGAATAGTGTGTGAGAATGATGATGTTGCTGCCAACCCCAGGCCCAGGGAGCTACTGAAGCTTGACCAGGAGACAGTATCACAGCCGTGCTGTAGAAAAGTAGCTGGACAGTAGTGTCTCAAATGGATTAGGGGGGAGAGGATTGGAGTGAGGAGTCGCTACTGAGGAGGGTTTTAATAGCTGGGGTGAGGGTGAACGAGAAACTACTGGAGTGGTGACAGTGGGGCTGAGATGAGGCACTGAGCTGGGATGGAATGGGGGACTCATTGGATGCTGAGGGTAAGGGAAAATGAGGAGTCACAGGTAAGGGTCTTCATGGTACATAGTAGATGGTTGTTGAATTCTGTGTAGAAGAGGCTCATACTACTGGAGCTGTGTGGGAGGCGGCTGGAACCGAAGATGTGAGGCCTACAAATGGAGACTTATGATTCATTTCCACGGGACATTAGGGTCAACTCCAGGTGAAAGCACCAGAGGCTAATGTTTACACAGGGTGAAGATGGTACTAAGCCTGGGAGACACCGCCTTAGGGGCTGGGAGAAGGACAGGACAATGCAGAGGAGGCAGGAAACCTCCCCAGGGTGAGTGGAGGACCAGACAAGCCAAGTCACAGAGCAAGGGAAGGAAGGAGATGGTCGGAGGGCAAACTTCTACAGACGAGGATAACGTGTGCCTGATTCGGTGATCAAAGGACCTTTGGCTGAAAAATGAAAATGATGTCATGTGACCTTTGACTACTGCTTACTACTTGTTGCTATTAATACCATCACTGCTCCTCTCCTAATGTTCCTAGTAGTATTATTGCTACTACTACTGCTGCACTGCCACCATGACTTTCTTGTGTTGTTTAGAGAGGCTGGTTCATGATATAGTTTGTCCTTGTTGTAGTAGCATCTCTAGTTGCTTCAGAAAGTTTGCCTTTAAGTGGCTAGTACCATTTTCTCTATCTTTCCATCTATACCTCTGTCTCACTCTGTGTTAAGGTTCTATTGCTGCATGGGTCATGCAATTTCCTCTTACCTTTCCAAACTTACTTGTTTTTTACCCGTATTCCTGCTAACTAATTTCATAGGTAATTTAATTTGTGGTGCTAATGGCTGGTAATGGCTTCATATGTAAACTAATTTTTACATTGTCCCCTGAGACGTTATCATTTTAAAGTTCAAGAGTATAAATATGTAATTTATTGCTTATGATGTTTTTAGCCATTTCATGTGACTGTATTAAATGCACTGTTTCTATCCCCAAATAGTATAGGTTTTGTACTTATCTGTTCTCTTCCATAGAAAAGTTATCTTAAATAGGTTGTGGTGAATGTATATTTATTTTTAAGCATTCTATATTCATTATTGGTCATCATCTGGATGCCCAGGTATTCACAGGTTGTTAGGGAGGCATCTCCACTCTGGCTGGCTGGGCCTTTGGTGTCTCCCAGAGCTGTTTCTTCTGTGGCATCTGTTGTATTTTCTATCTTGTAGCAGCTTTGCTTTGTTATTCACCCAACTAGAGGCCCTATGCATGAAATTTGTGTAAGAGTAAGCCTTCCTTCTCGTGGCTGCTGGCACTGGCTTTCCTCTGGCACCCTGGACCCAGGCTGGCTTCCCTCAGCCTGGGACAGGCACCTGGGACCTGGGCAGGCGCCCGGGACCCAGGCTTCCCTTGCAGCTCCAGCTTCGTCCAGAAGGGCATCTGGTCTAATTATCATATTACGCTTGTATTATTATAGACTAGAGGCCCAATGCACGAAATTTGTGCAAGGGGCTCGGCTCTTGCAGCGTTGGCAGCTTGCCTTGGCCCTTGCAGCCCTGACTTCGTCTGGAAGGTTGTTCGGCTGTTTGGTCTAATTAGCATATTACGCTTTTATTATTGTAGATGATGTGCCCGGTACCCCACCGAATGCACACACATTCCAACCTATGTTAAGGACTGGCAGGCATCCTGCTGGGCAGTTCCCACTTCCCTAGTCCCTGTATATAAGATTCCCGCTTCTTCAACTGCCTTGAACTCTGACATTGCCTTCTTGTTCAGGAGGGCAGCGGGCCTCTATTGCACTCAGTGGTTCCCATGCAGAGAGGCAGATGATATTGGGTCTAGCTTGTGAGGATGACAGTATTGCACCCGCCTGTTTTCTAACACCTGAGAGTGGTCACCTCAGTTATTTTAGCCCTTTTCATGTTTGTTAACCGGGAGGTGAGTTCACTACTAGTTACTCCATTATAGCCTGCAGTGGATCTCTATGATTCTTAAGCTGAAATTCATAGTGTCTGTTCTGAGCCCAGTTAAAGAAAACTTAAATGTTGTCTGGGGTCAGTTACTTGGAGCTTAAACAAATTAGAAGTGTTATAGTTAGCCTTTTAATTTCAGCCTTTTGTGTTAAACTAAATTAAGCAAGGCTGTTTATGGTCTTTTACATAATCAGACAGGGTGGGGCAAAAGTAGGTTTAGAGTTTTTCGTATGGAAAATAATACAATAATTAATAAACAATATACAAGAAGAACCTCCTTTTTGCATATTTACAAGTATAAGCCTACTTTTGCCCCCTCCCTTATATGTGTCTATAAACACACATGTGTCCATATATATTTATATCTATTTCTTATATCTTGTGTTATCTTAAATGCTGTATTATGGTTGTTTCAATATTCTAATCCTGATGATTTATCATGAATAATACTTTAGAAACAAGGCAGAAACATAGAGCTACTCTGTAGTGACAAGGATTTGGTTTTGTTCCTCAAAGTAGCTAACTTGCTATCTTCATTCATATTCTTTCTCTGAATGATTATAATGATTACTTAAGTACTAGAGGCCCAATGCACGAAATTTGTGCAAGGGGCTTGGCCCTTGCATCCCCAGAAGGTAGTTCGGCTGTACAGTCTAATTAGCATTTTATGCTTTTATTATTATAGATGTGCCAAGTGTTTATTCCTAATCTGGTAACCCAAGATTGAGGTGGGAGGTGGTGGGTGGGTTATAGCAGCAGTTACATGGTGTTTAGAGCTCACCGAGTCTGAGGTTACATTTTTAAGGTATTATGGAAAGATATGGTAATAAATTCTCCTATATCTTCCCAGTGTTGTTTGATTCCTTTTTAATAGTCCCCAGAAAACTTTTGTTAAGAATCTTTACATGGACTTAGGCCACCCAGACCTCTTTCTGCTAAAATGTGGAAGAAGCATCCTGTGATTTAGAATTTTTTTCCTTTTGCCGCATAAATGGATGACTGTTTCCCACTCTACCACTCATAACATTTTAAAATCATGAATTGTTTATATTAATTTTTATTTGTAAAACTTTAAAATTTCACTTTAGTATATTGATGTGATCATGCATGTTTACTGTAAGTTCAAATTCATTGTATATTTGAAACAGTAATTTAAAAATATAAAGTGTATTTTAAAAATTTTTCAAGAAAATATTTTGCTAGCATATTCCTAATATTTTAAAAGAAAACTTTTGTGAAGGTTTTGCGCCAAACATTGTACTCAGTATAGTTACTTAAATGTTTCACATTTCATAAGGATAGCTATCCTTAATTAGTAGAAGAGGAAATAAAGTTTCAACAGAGTGACTTGCCCAAGATCACAGCAATTAATACATAACTAGATGCCCAGTGCATGGAATTTGTGCACTGGTGGGGAGAGTGGCCTGCAGGGATCGGCCTGATGTGGGAGCACCGCTCCTCCCGGTCAGCTGAATGGCAGTTCTGACTGTGGGAGCACACTGACCATCGGGGGCAGCTCCTGTATTGAGCGTCTTCCCTGTGTTGGTCAGTGCACATCATAGCGACTGGTCGACTGGTCATTCTGATCGTTTCGCCATTTGGTTGCTGGGCTTTTATTACATAGGATGGGATTAGAACTAGACTTATAAATGAGGTCTGTCAGACTTTAATGTGCATATTCTTTTAAAAAGTAGGAATCAGATGGTCCAATATTTTTATAGTTGAGAAAACCAATTTTATGTTGTTCTTAGAACCAGTTACTACTATTCTTTCAATTCAAAGATACACGTATTATTTTCAACAAGTATTGGTTATAGTTTCGCTGGTTTGCTGCAAACATTGTGCATTAAATATTGGTTTGAGCAGTTTGGGAGTTAATGAGTGCTTGAAAGGAGATGAAGTCACTGTCTGGAGGGCATCGGGGTCTATGACTTCAGGAAAGAGAAGCATTTATCAGTAATATGCCATATTTATGGACGTTCAGTCTCAAACTCTCACATTGGTGAAAAGTATTTTTAAAGGAGCACATAAATATAAGAAAAGCAAAAAGTAAAACAGTTAATAGAGACTTCCTCAGATAGGAAATAATAAACGTGAAAATACTAGCAAAATAACACTTTAAAATGACTTTTTTGGGGACCAGATAATTGATAAATCCATATTTAGTAGTGTTAGCTTACCCATCAGGTACAATTTATTTGAAAGATTTTTAATTAGCTTGGAAGTAATACCAACATTGACATATATATGATGTTCAGAAGGTAGGGTATATACCATTTATTCTTTTATTAATATTGAATATTTGAAATAGTCTAGGTCTTGTGATCCTTATCTGTCCACCCACCCACCTGTCCCCCCACCCACCCACTAGTTTTAAATGCCAGGTAAAATATACAGTCCTTGACCTTATACCATATTTGGAAAGTATAGTCATCAGTTTGTTGCTTGAATGGCATTTCCTACGTGTCTGGAATTGGGGAGGAACAAAATTCAGAGTGTTTTATCTATTTGCCTACATTCTTTTCCTTTTTTGCTTCTTTACGGATGTTAGGATCAAACTAGCTCCTTTTCTTATTTACCAACTATTCTTACCGCTGGGACTAAAACAATGCAAGGTAAAGTGAAATCCTGTTAATAAAAGCACTAAGAAAAAGTTGATTAGACATTGGTGAATAAACTTTTTGTGTGTGTGTGGTTTTTTTTTTATAGCTGATGATACACCTGCCTCAATTTTTTCCTCCATTTGGTTAGCACACATTTTTTTTTTTATGCCAGATTGCTAATGTTCCTACAATTTTATTATTTCTCTGTGTGTGTGTGTTGTTTTTTTTGGTGTAGATGTATTTAGAAATATAGAACAATCATGATTAAATTTTGTTAAATTTTAAAACTTCTGACACAGTATCAATTCATGATGTAAAATATTCATGCAATTTTGACATATTTTGGGATGATTTTTCTGATTCACAATAGCAGAGCTAGATATAAAGGAAGATTATTACTTCTCATCTTCCCATCCATCAGGGGGTTCTTATTGTGCATGGAATTGGTAGGACACCAGTGGGACGATTCAGGGCTGTGCTCATCTGGAGGTGCCTATTCCAGTGCGGTGGGGAGGGGGATTGTACTGTCCCATGTGTCACGTTGTGATGGCTTCTCCCTGCTACTTTATGACAGTTTAATCTCTGAGTTATATTTTAGAGAATCACCTAATTTATTATTTATAGTCTCCTTAAAGATTGATACATGAAATTTCAAAGCAGATAGCATATCTCTTTCAGTAATCATTAATTCTAGCATATTTACTACTTTCTCAATGCACTGAAATATAATTTTTACATCTTTTGTGGGATTAGCTGAGATAGACTTGCAAAAAATATTGTGCTCATTTAAAAAATTATGTGTTCTGTATGTCAAACAACATAGCATACTAAAACATTTAAAATTCATTTGCAGATTTTAGAACGAAAGAACAGTGAAATAGACGAATTGAAAACTTTATACAAAACAAAACAAAATGAAATGGAGGAGACTGTTAGAAAACTTGAAAAGAAAGGTGATGTAGTATTCTTACATAAATCTTAATAATATTTCTGTTTTATCTTAGTGGTTATACGAAGTACAGTTTTACTTCTGACCTTCTGGAGTGTGAGATGGCAGTGTTTGTGTGGGCTTCCATCAGTGGACGTGTTTATGAGAGCTCTCATATGAATAGGGAAAACTGTGTGCGTGTGTGTGTGTGTGTGTGTGTGTGTGTGTGTGTGTTGTTTGGTTAAGGAACTGGAAGAGTCTGTCACTGCTACTTCCCCTTCTTAACTCTGCCTCCTTATTGGGCTGCCATAGTGAGTCATAGGATTAGAATTTACTGGCTTTCACAGAGGTCTAGGGAAACCATTCCTCTTGGTCTGATGACATTCATTACATTAAGTATCTATTGATGACTGGTAATATGTGCTAGTATTGTGATTGACAGAACAAGCATTTAAAAAGTATTCCCCATTCACACTTTCATTAAGAAGGAAAAGAAAGCATGTGATCAAGTGTTAAATTGACTGTGAATATAGGTCAAAACGTCTAAGTGCAACAGGCAGCCCTTAGAGACCATGTTGCAAACATTTTTGTTGAAAAGAACTTCAAAAATTTCCATGTGCTGCAATAGGAATGCTGTTATTGCTAAGTTTTGGAAGGATGCTGCAAAACCACTTAGCAAGAGTGGGTATCCTGTACATTAAGAGATAGATTGAAAAAGATAAAGTAGGTGACTTGGCATGACTTAGGCATGACCTTGAATTTCAGGTTTAGAAGTTTCAAGTTTATCTTGTAGATACTGTGGAGACAGAGAAGATTTTTGAGAAGTGAGTTTTAGGACCTTAAGTTTTAGTAGGAACAGTCTTGTAATGGTGGGTATGCCACCTGGTGAGGCCAATTCCCAGTCTATTATAGGAGGGAGGGAGGGTTGGAGGGAGGGAGGGGAGAAAGAAAGGAAGGAAAGAAGGAAAGAAGGAAGGAAGGAAGGAAGGAAGGAAGGAAGGAAGGAAGGAAGGAAGGAAGGAAGGAAAGAAGGAAGGGAATGAATATCTCATTTATGTCATACCAAGTTTCAGATGAGGTTAGAAGGCTGAGCAGGGGTGCGTGCCTAAGGAAGGAAGGAAGGAAGGAAGGAAGGAAGGAAGGAAGGAAAGAAGGAAGGGAATGAATATCTCATTTATTAGAAACCAGGCTCCAATCCCAGGCTCCTATTCAGGGTCTGCTAATAATATGGCACTGGGAAGTCTCTGGCCTTGGCTTATTCAATATAAATGGCGAGGTTGGAATAAATAATGCTTGAAGTTCCTTCCACCTCCGAGAGTTTATACTTCCATGCTTCTGTAATTTTGTGTATAAGGTGATAAGGACCTGGAATTTCTGAATGATGGAAGTGGGAATACTGAGAAAAGGACTGAAGAAGAAATTTTGAAGAATTTGGTGAATAAGATACAGGTGATGAATAAGAGGAGAGAAGGTTTTCATTTAGGGGTTTCCATATGAAACTTACTCGCTCTGTAACCATCACCAGACTTGAGTATATCTGAGAGACTGGTGCCGCCCTTAAAATTTAAGATGGCACTTACACAAATAAATTACTTAATGAAATAGGTTATTTTTAGGTTTATTCCCAGCCTTAAATTTTATTTAGAAATTAGTTCAGGTTCTTTCTCCAAATATCAATGACTACAAAAATATTTTAAACTTATTTCTAGGTTTTAGTTTCTTACCCTTATTTAAACCAGGCAATTTAAATATGCCAATGGTTTAAAAATAATACTTTTTAAGGCTTTTGAATTGCAAATAGATCTTAGTTTAATTTTGGAATTGTGAAATAATATGTTATACGTACTAAGGACTAATGTTAGGTTAATTTGAATTCTTCTCTTTCTCCCCTCATTTGTTACATAGTTGAGATATAAGAGTGAAAGAAATTCCTACGTAAATGTTTTGAAAATGTTGCTATCTTTTTTTGCGGAATAATGGACATACATTATATTAGCTTCAGCTATGCAACACAGTGATTTGATATCTGCATATATTGTGAAATGATCACCACAATAAGTCAGGTTAACATCCATCACCACATATAGTTAGAGAATTAAATTTTGAAGTGAGTAAAAACATATTCAGTAAGCTAAGAAAATGCCACATTTAAGCAAACATACAGCTGACTTTATTTTACCATCCAGATGACATAATATATTAAGCAAATTTTTGCTTAAATCAGTGACAGTTTAAATCATTTTTAAAAGATTTTATTTAAAAGAAATTTTTAAAAAGTGATTTATAAGAGGAATATTTTATATAATTAAAGCATATTTTATTTTAGTAACGTAAACCTTGGCAATGATTTTAAAGCACTAGCGGCAGGATTGGAGTGAGACAATGGGTTCCTTAGTCAGGACACATGTTTTTGAGCACTTGCCTACAGCACTGTTACGCTCTGTAGATACAAGGTTGAAATATCTTTCTCCTCAGGACATAGGCAAGGAAACCTTTATAACATATAATGTAATAAGCGATTTAATGGAGAAATAGATACGGTTCCTTGGGCACACAGAGGAGTTTCCTTCTGTCCTGCAAGATGAGGAGTCTGGGTGGGGAAGGTTCACAAAGAAGGTGATGCTGGAATTGAGACTAGGAGTGAGTAGGGCCCAGTGGAGGGGTGAACCTGAGGCCAGTACACTGTCAAAGCCAGGAGGTGAGTAATGATGGGTTCAACCAAGACTGGTGGCACAAATGGAGAAAAAGAGAGGAAAAAGTAAGATATTTTAACAAGACAGAATTGAGAAGATTGCTAAAAAAATGGAATTATCTAACCAGTGCACTATATATTTTTTTTATCATCAAGCTCTTATGTGTTAGGTAGAATTGGTTTAACTGTGTTTTATCATTTTTGACAGTTCAGACCCTTATACGTGACTGTCAAGTTATCAGAGAGACTAAAGAAAACCAGATTTCAGAGCTGAAAAAGATATGTGAGCAAAGTACAGAATTTCTGAATAATGACTGGGAAAAAAAGGTAAGCTACATAAAATAAAATAGTAATAGAAAATTCAAAGTAACATTTAATTATAAAAATAATGGATATTCACAAAATACACAGAAAGAGTATTAGACCGTATACACCTGTTTTATCCTTAAGTGAATCAGCTAAGTTATAGCATACTTATATTTCCCAGTGTCATTTTTGCCCTTGCAGTCTCAACTGTGTAAATTCCCTGGGTTTGTTTTGAAGACTTAGAGACACCCCGCCAACTTCAACAGGCACATATATGTTATCAAGCATTGTGGGGTACACCTAAAAAATCACTCTCTATTGATGGGCTACTAAAAATAGTGGATTTTTTGATAGTCAGAAGGCATATGTCTTAGGACCTTTTAGAGACCATAACATGAAGAAACCTCTGCAACATAAATATAACCACCAAGTTCTAAGTGACTTATTCAGAGCCCTTTATCAGAGTTACCATGCCCGTCAGTCCACAGCTACAAAGCAGCACTGAAATTTAGGTGCTATGGGTTTGGCTACATTCATGGACCAACTAAGTGACTGACACCAGTTTAAAATGTAGACTTTGGCAAACATACAAATACAACATAGCAGGGATTTGGGGGATCACTTACAAAGAGTCAGAGAACTGCATGCGTTAAATTTGTGAAACCCAAGGGTCTTCTGTGTGGCCATTACTGAGCCATCCTCTTCTTGTTTAGCTAGAAAGTAGAGGGAACGTTCCTGAGACCCTTACCGATAATTAGCATAATTATTGCCTGCATGCTGCCTCTGGTTTCCATCATCTCTCAGGGTTTCTCTGTTCATTCAATATCTTCCTAGTCAAACAGGAACTTCCATGCATCTGTCATATCCTTGTTCTGCCTCCTGCTCATAAATGGGAAATCAAATGCACCTTTCAAACTTAACCAAGTGAGCCTGGGGTTGGGTGCCGAGGATGGGAGCTACACTCAGAATTCCACTCCCCTTCAGATAAGGGAAGGAGTGCCCACAGGCCATGAACACAGACTTTCAATTCCCTTTGGAAGCTGTCCATTAGTTCCATAGACACTTCGAGTCTAATCTTTGTAAAGAAAGACCTGTAGACATGAGGACATAGGGTCTATAGTTCTTAAAGATTCTTTCTCTATTTGATTTATAATGTCATCTTTGTGTCCGCTTTTGTGTAGGTCATGGAATGGATAAAAATAGTGTCCTGTTGGGGGTAGGGTGAAGGATAAAGATTTTAACATTACTCTTGTGCAAAATTTCATGCAGATAATATAAAACTATAGACAGTGACATAATATTCTTGATCAATAATAATATTGTAAATATTTCTGTGTGATTCAGGCTAATCCTAGTGTTGTTTAGCTGAGACAGTGTATTATTTGTGTATTTATTTACTGTTGCTACCAGAAGTAGGTAATTCCTTTAATATTTGTTGATCCATTAAAATCTCCAATTTAGGAAAGTAAAGAAAAAAAATAATTTCTTAATCATGCTCTCTATAGGTTACCTTACTTGGGCATTTATGACTTACATACCTTTTATTGTTTGGGACACCATATAAGTAGAGACATATAGGAAACATGTCTTCTGAATTGCAAACTAGTCTGCTCGGCAGCAGTGATGAGAGAGCCCGGTTTTGTCTCCGTGCAGCTGCACAACGCGGTGGCGGAGATGGAGAGGGAGAAGTTTGACCTTCAGAAGCGGCACACGGAGAGCATCCAGGAGCTGCTGGAGGACACCAACGCCCGGCTGCGCAGGATGGAGGGCGAGTACACGGCGCAGACCCAGGCCACGGCAAGTCCGTTTCCTCTTCCTGCCGTTGTTAGGCGCTCCTCTCTCTTCTCCACGTGCCCTCTTCCCTGGTGTGTGCTGGGAGTAAGTGACATACAGATCAGGAGAAACCCCCCACTTTCCATAGACACAGGCTGACATGGGACCTGGACAGTCTCTGGAAGTGGCTGTGGATTTCACTCTGGATTCTTTGAGGCCCCCCCCTTTGCTTAACTCCCAAAAACCTTTACAAATTTGTCTTCTTGTTTTTTTTGCTGACTTTCTGCCTGGAGATCATTTTTTTCTTTCATTCTATTTGTTTGTTTTATTCTTTTTAAACTGATGACTTGTTTTTCTAAAAATATTTAATACTAGTGTGAAGGAAAGAAAATGGGGAGATAGGAGTAGAGTGACCACTTTAAGATCGATCTCAGTAGCTTCATTTTGACTGAAGGACTGGACACAGTTATCACATGGGTAAACCCCCCAAGTTGCCTTCCTGTGAGGACACAGAAGGAGGTTACACACACAGTAGAGAGGTCAGGGAGGATGCAGGGTCCCCGAAGAGCCTCCTCACAGAGCACCTGGTGGCAGGGGAGCAGTCTGAGGAAGGGAGTGTCACCAGCCTTTTAGAAGCCCAGCTGACTTCCTGAGGCACACAAGCCTGTAACAGGTAGGCTCATGGCACACGGACCAGGGCACATCACATCCAAGGCAAGTGTGCCTCATCAACCTTGTTCCTAACACATGACACCACCTGTGGGATGGCAGAACCTGTGTCCTAGGCATGAACCCAGCCCTCATGTACCACAGCCCACCAGCCCAGCTAGGCTGGTCCAAGTATGCTCTTGAGCTGAAAGCTGTGGAATCTGATCAAGAGTCAATTTCGCAGGCATCTCTCAGAGACCCTGAGATCAGCTCTAGGGTCTGGCTCACAGGGTTCAAAAGTGGGAAGCAGGGTCCACAGTGGGACAGGGAGACCAATTAGGACGCTACCATAGATGTCCAGGCAAGGGAGGTGGTGGCTTGGACCTGCGTGCCCATCTGGAGGTGAGGACTGGCAAATGGTGATGCAGGTCGGTGAGTTGGACAACGCTGAAGGTAGAGCAGGTCTACTGGGGAAAGATATCAAGAATTTATTTGCTGAATAATCAGAATAATGATGATATTCAAAGTATTGAACAAAAACCAAATTTATATCTGAAATATGTATTTGTCATCTCAACATCCTAAGTTTTCAACAAATGTGAGTTAAATATATTAATATTAGAGTTGAAATCTGTGGAACATGTGATTGCTTAAAATGCTTACTGCATTTTTATATATTATTTATTAAACAATAGGAAGAGAGTGATGCCTTTCACAGTGGCATTTTTAATTTTTATGAAGTTGGGATGTAAAGAAAAGTGACACTTTGGAGCCAAGAGGTCACTGTCAGAAAAACTATTTTTAATGAAAGTTGAATTTCAAAATGAGCATTCAGACCTTGTCATTAGATAATAATAAATATAGAGGAAAACGGACAGAGTCTGTCAGCAGGATCGCATTTAGGAATCATCAAGACTAGACAGCCCTTGCTGAGCAGCTTCTGGTTAATAATTAAACAAGGTGGAGTTCAAGGCCAGGCTTCAGATGAAAGGCGAGACTGTCACTGAGAATTAGGTTCTGAGTTTTGTGGTTCTTCCAGGCTTTTTTCTTCTTTTGTTGAGTCTTGTTTGTTGTAAGCAGACATTGTATAGATTATTAGGTTTATGACTTTGGGTATTGGCAGGGAATCTCTTGTGCAAAACTCATAGTTAAACATGTAAACACTGGATTTTAAAAACAATATTAGGACTATAAATATGAATATTGTAGCAAAGTAGATACTTGGGGAGATGAAGGCTGGAAAACATCAGGCTCTATCTCTGTCAGGGTTGGACGCATGAAAGTCTGGTGGCTTCACTGAACTTTTTTTGGCTTGTTTAGTAGAGTTCTTTATCTTTTCCTGTATCATAGGTCCCACTGGCAATTTTGTGAAGTCCATTCAGCCCTTCCCAGAATAATATTTTTAAATTTAATAACATATATAATATTACAAAGAAAATAATATTGAGTTATAGTTGTCAAAATGTTAATAAAAGTTATGATAGAGCACTAGAGGTGCTTCTAAATGAATGCAGTATATATCAAAATTTAGTAGTGGGCCTATTAACTCTTGGAACCTATGAATATTGCTGAGAATAAACAATACTTAGTAATTACCTAACACTGGAATGGACTATACAAATATCTGTGATTATTGGTCATTGTTATGCCCAGATTTCAAGATCCCCATGAGACCACACCAGGGAGCCAGCCGTGTCAGATGCAAAAGCATAAGAGTCTTTTATTCAAACCCGGGCTTGGCTCCCCTACCCTTTTTACTGACGCAGCAGCAAGTGGCAGGGAGAGCCAGCCCTGTGGGGAGAGGGGTTTTATATTAAGGGGAGGAGAGAGGACTGTGGGCCCTGCCGATTGGCCAGGCACAAGTCGGTGTCTTGTTACACAGGATGCGGTCGTATCTATGGCCCACACTTCCCTTGATTATACTTCTGGGAAGAAGCTTCTTGATGAGCACATGGCTGCTGCCCAAAAATGGAGGATTCGGGGCAATATGGAGGGCGTAGCCCTCGCCCTTTCAGTCATAGATATTGCTAATGATGCCTTGGTTTGCTGATTAGATATACTGAAGGGATGTGCTGAAGGTCAGGTAAGGCAGTGAAAATAAAGATAAGCTCTCTTTTCCCATTCAAATTCCCACCTTAGAAAGTGTCAAAAGGCCTTCAGCACCTGAAATATTTTGTTAATCATTCTTAACTATTATTGTTAGTAGTGACATCAGTAATTATAGAGTAACTAATTTACTGTCTGATATAGCTAGACTTTGTCATTTATAGTCGTCACCACATTTATTCTCCCAACCTCATATTTAGAAAGAAGAATCCCTCTAATAGTGGCAGTTCATCATTTTGAATAGGGTGATCATTTCACAGGTAGACTTTATTTTGTAGAGCAGTTTTTAGATCTACAGAAAAATTGAGAAGGGAGTGCAGAGAGTTCCTATATACTTCACACCCAATTCCTCCTCGTAGAAACATCTGGTATTATTTTGGTACATTTGTTACAATAAATCCATCAAGATGGATAAAGTCCATAGTTCATTCAGGTTTTTTTTTTTAAGTTGTTTTTTTTTCTTGGATCTCATGCAGGATATCACATTACATTTAGTGTTCATGTCTTCTTAGGTTGACACAGTTCCTCAGCTTTCCCTTGTTTTCATGACCTTGACAATTTGAGGAGTACTGGTCAGGTCGATTGTAGAATGCCCCTCTGTTGGATTTTGTCTCATGTTTTTCTCATGATTGGACTGGGGTTATGGGTTGAGGCAGTAAGATCACAAGGTTAAGTGCTCATCTCATCATATCAAGGGTTCGTACTGTTAATGACTTACACTGTTATATTATCCTTGATCACCTGGCTGAAGTAGTATTGGTTAGACCTTCCACTGTAAAGTTACTCCCTACTTTTCCATATTGTCTTCTTCGGAAGGAAGTTCCTGTGAGCCGCTCATGCTTAACAAGTGGGGGATTCTGCTTTCCATACTTAGGTGTGACGTTTCTACGTAAGTTATTTGGAGTTTTTCTCCATGGGAGATTTGTCTCTTCTCTCCCATTTGTTCAGTCATTCATTTATATCAGTATAAACACATGGATATTTTTTATTGTATACTCTGGATTATAATGCAATACTACTTTATTTTACTGCTCAAATTGTTCTAGTTTTGGCCATTGAGAACTCTTTCGTTAGGCTCCTGTACCGCTTTGACATACCCCATTGATGGGGATCATATGGAGAATGGTATTAGAAACTAAGATCTGTGTGGTAGGTATGCTTATTATTGTTGGGATGACATTTTTTATGCCCTCTAACCAGACAAAGCAAGGGAGTATATGTGAATTACTAACCTGTGTGTCTGTGCATATCTATAAACAGTTCTATATGTAACCATCTGTATCTACATTAAACTAAACATAATTTCTTACTGATTTCTGTAACTCTCCTCCATTACCACATGGATTATTCCAGCCTTCTCCCTTTGTGCATATGTAAATTCTCAATCCAACCGTGGAAACTTGGCTTCTACTGCCTTTCATCCATTTACTTAATTGTTCAGTTCCAGTACATGTGTATGTTAGTGTCAGAGTTGTTAATTACTCATACTCCCATGGGAACCAACTTTGTCAACTAGAGCAGTGGTCGCCAAACTTTTGGACCTCACAGGCCACGAGTGGTCCCCAGACCACCGGTTGGTGACCACTAAACTAGTGTACAGTGTTATGGACACTTCCTTTTGCCTTTGTTCTTAGAGACTCCACTCATTTCAAACTGCTTAGGTCATCACCTTTCCCCCCATTCCTTCAATGAGGTTTTTTCCCCCATATATTTTTAATATAACTGGATTCTCTTATCACGGTTTGCATTTTTTCCTTGGATCCCCCAAACTCCAAATGTGTTTGTTGTTTTTATTTGCACAAAATAATATTCTTTTTATACTTTAAAATTCTATGGGTTTTGACAAATACATCTTGTCATACATCCATGATTATGGTTTCATATATAGTATTTTTAATGTTCTAAAAGTCACCAGTGTTTCACCCTGTTTAGCTCTTGCCCCTCTCTCTAGAATCCCTGGCAACCACTGATCTTTTGTACTGACTATATAGTTTCATATTTTCCAAAATGTCATATGATTGGAATCATACAGTATGTAGCCTTCTTGGACTGGCTTCTTTCATTAAGCAATTATACATTTATGATTTCTTGATGTCTTTTGTGGCTTGATAGCTCATTTTTTTTTTGCTGAATAATGTTCAATTATATGATATACCATAGTTTGTTTATCCATTTACCTATTGAAGAGGTACATCTTGGTTGTGTCCCGTTTTTTTAAATTATGGATAAAGCTGCATTTAAATGCAAGCTTTTGCATGGACATAGTTTTCAAATTAATCATGACTCAGCAATTTCACTACAGGAAGTACAATCAAAATAAATAAGTGCATGTATATACCATATAACATGTATGAAAGTGTCCGTAGAAACATTATTTTTAACAGCCAAACACTGAAAACAACCCATCAATAAAATGGATAAGTGATTTTAGGTTATTTGCACAATGGAATACTCTATATAGCCTTAAAAAGTTTAAATTACTGCTATTTGCCATGACATGGATGAATCTCACAGACATAAAATGAGCATGATGAAGGCTGACCCAAAAGTGTCCATACTCTGATTTCATTTACAGAAAGTTCAACAAGAGGCAAAGTTACTTTTTTGTGATCGAAGTCAGAATAATGGTTACCTTGTGTAGACAATGATCAATCAGGCTTCAGAGCGACTGGTGATTTAAAAAAAAAAAAATTATTGATTTTTTTACAGAGAGAAAGGGAGAGAGATAGAGAGTTAGAAACATCATTGAGAGAGAAACATTGATCAGCTGCCTCCTGCACACCCTCCACTGGGGATGTGTCCGCAACCAAGGCATATGCCCCTGACCGGAATCAAACCCTGGACCCTTGAGTCCACAGGCTGACGCTCTGTCCACTGAGCCAAACCGTCCAGGGCACGACTGGTGATGTTTACACCTTGTAGTGACTCGTGGCTGTTTTCAATTTGTAAAAAATTACAAAAATACATAGTGAAAATTTGTGCATCTTTTTGTATGTATGTCATATTTTAAGAAGTTTATGAAATAAGATACAATGTATTGTTACTTTTGCCATAGAAGTTGAACTTTGGATTCTCAATAGTTGCCAAATAGTAACCCTTTCTCATTTTTTACTCTTACAAGATTTCAAACAAAGTTTGTATGTAAAACTCCTACATTTCTTAATCTATCTATTGGTTGTATAACTGAAGGCCTGTCAGATATTTTACTATTTCCTGTTACTTCTTGAAAATCATGTCTATATTTCCTATAAAAATAATACCCTTTTCTAAACTTTCTCTTAATTCTCAATGTGCCAATTCTCTCGGCATATTAGGTTTTGAACCTGGAAAATCTATGATTTTTGCCACTTCTCATTTCATTCATTTAGTATTTTACTTAATCACATTATTTGTTTCTCTGAGCATTTCTTGGATCTGCTCTCCTTCCCTTCTGTTTCCACAGCTACCACTTGCATCCAGGCTATTGTTGCCACATTCCGGGACTCTTCCGGTAACCTGCCAGTAGCTCTCCCTGTCTCTTCTTGTTCCAGATCTCACAAATGATATTTGTCCCATTTTCCCATAACCAAGAACTTGAATTACTAATCTAATGCCCATTATCACTTCTGCTTACAAGCCATGTCCACTCAAGAACTCCAACCTAGTCTTCCGAGTGCTACCTTTGAGTTCAAAATATGGGAACAGAGACTCTGTGCCCGAGGTAATGTTCGCCACTGACTGTACAGTTGCTGCTCCTTCTCTGATGCTATTGTTACTTACCCCGAACTCCCCTTCTACACTATCTGTCACAGCCTGAAATATGTATCTATGTCAGCATCTTATTTTCTGAATAGCTTTTTACCCCATTTTGAGGCATCCACTATTTTTATATCTCTCTGTTCTTTGTATTCAATTTTAAAAAGGTTATTTTGACCAAATATTGTTGTCCTTAAAGTATTTCATATATGTCTATAGTCTTTCCCTTGACAGTATGTTTTAATTTTAAAAATTTACTTTGTACCGATTTTATTTTGTATAAGACAATATATTTAGGAAACATGGAGAGTTAGAATGTATGTTTGGAAATTGATGCCATCTTTTGAAAGGAGCCCCTCAAGCAGAGGGCTCATTAGGAAAGAGGCAGGATGAATGGGATATACAGAGAAGAAATCTGAGCATCAGATATGTGTCAGGCTCTGAGCTAGAAATTGTATGTATTTTAAAAATAAATTTATATATCATGTTTTTAAGTTAGATATAATTATGTCCATTTCTCAGATTTGGAAGCTATTGCACCAAAATTTAAATTATGTACCTAATTCATATCGTAATGAAGAAAGGTCATTAAGAAGTTGGGATTGCAATATTATGTAATGCTTAAACTTTACTTAAATGTTTATCTTAGAAAGAGTATGAAAATATACTGATTGGAACATCATTCTAACCTTTTCTAATTATTCACACTTATTGGAAATGCAGTTGTTAAATGACAATGGTTGATATTTTGTAATGTATATAAATATCAAATCATTGTGATGATGTATTCCTGAAATAAATAGAATAGTGTATCAAGTATACTCTTCAATAAAAAAATCAGTTCTTTTAGCTGATGCTTGCTTATCCTAATTTTACATGGAATACATAGTCATAAACACCTCTATCTAGTTCTATAAAGTTGAAAAATTCAAAATAACAAATATCAAATAATAGGGAAATGGTTTTAATTATGTGATAATTTTGAAGACTGGAAAAATGAAGTGCTTTTGATAAAATAGTAAGTAAAAATAAAAGAAAATTATGTTTACTAACATTGCACCTGTCTAAAAATATTCCTATACACTTATATGATAACCAGAGGCCTGGTGCATGAAAACTCATGCACTGGAGGGGGGTCCCTCAGCCCGGCCTGCCCCTCTCACAATCTGGGAGCCCTCAGGGGCGGGTGGTGACCAGGTGATCAGGGGAAGGCAACGCCTCATCACACCTCTGCAATGCAAGCCTCAGTTGGCCCTGGTTACCTGTGCCTCGGGCGGCCCTGGGGGGCTGAGGGGACTGGGGGACTCCAGAGGCAGGCGCATGGAGCAGCTGGGCCCGCCCTGGGGGCGAGCTCAGGCTTGCCGTGCTTGTGATGGCATGAGGGTCAATTAGCATATTCCCTCTTTATTAGATAGGATACATGTATCATATAACTCCTGTATTAAAATACTTGGGCTATGAATTACCTTTTAAAAGTATTATTACACTAGAGGCCGGGTACACAAAAATATGTGCACTCGGTTATTGTTGTAAGGATTGGAGTGACAACTTTCATAGTCTTTACAAGTCAGAGAAGAGCCCTAAGCCCCTATGTTTTCCCTTTGAGTATCATTTTTTTCATTTATAAAATGAGTTTATTTATAGCTACCTTGCAATTCATTGCCATGAGTTTATGAGATAATAATCTATAATTAAGTAATGTAAGACTCATAGCAGGTGGTCAATAAAATGGCATTCTATATTTAAGCTCTTTTTCATACTTTGTATCTTTTTAGCTCTCTGAGCTGCATTCTGAACAATTCTTTCTTATAGTTCACTAGTTTTCTCTTAAGCTATGTCTAAACTGCTGTTTAACCCATCTTTTGAGATTTTTATTTTGACATTTCTAAAAGTTCTGTTTTTCAGATCTGTCCTCATTTCCTATATTGTGGGTGGGGGCCAGCTGGTTTGCCCTGAAGGGTGTCCTGGATCAGGGTGGGGGTCCCCACTGAGGTGCCTGGCCATCCTGGGTGAGGGGATGATGACTGTTTGCAGCTGGTCACACACCCTTCAGGGTGGGGGTCCCCACTGGGGTGCCTGGCCAGTCTGGGTGAGGAGCTGAGGGCTGTTTTCAGGCTGGTGGGTGACCGATGGTCCCAACTGCTCCTTTTATTCTTTTTTTTGTTTTTTTATTCTGGGCCATCTTTAGCTCTGGCTCCAGCTCTGAGGCCTCTGCTGCTGAAAGCAGGTATCTGGTTTGTTTGGGTTCTATAATCGAAACTCTGTATCAACTCCAGCTCTGAGATCCCAGCGGACTGAAAGCAGGTTTCTGGGGTTTTGTTTAGCTTCTATATTTGTTACAATGTTTGATACTTCAGGCTCAGAGGCCGGCAAGTCAGGTGGGGAACGTTGGTTTCCTCCGTCACTGAAGCAAGCAAGCCTCATGTTAGCTTCAAGCTGCCTGGCTGCCGGCTGCCATCTTGGCTGCCAGTTAATTTGCATATCTCGCTGATTAGCCAATGGGAAGGGTAGCGGTCGTACGCCAATTACCATGTTTCTCTTTTATTAGATAGGATTGCTTTTATAATTTAAAAAAGTTTCTAAAACTTCAAATGAGCAAAAATACTGTTAATTGCTCAGCTAACAATATAAACTTCTTAAGTTGCATGAAGAAGATGGAACCTTCCTGAGGATAGAGACTTCAATAAAATTTGTTGAATTAATGAATGAATGAATGGCTAAAAGCATATAAACATTATGATCTTTTATGGTAGAAAGCATTTTTTAAAGACTTGGTTAACTTAGAGGTTGGTTTAATTTTTTATGATATGGTTATGATACATTTGTTTTCTGTATTATCTCTAATAGGGTATATATTTTCTTCAGGTTACTCAGTGATACTGAAGTGTTACAAAGTCAGAGGCCTTTTTAACAATGACCTATTCTTTTAGAACCAGATGGTGAAAGAACTGGAGTCCCGTGTCCAGCAGCTGACTGGAGAAGCAGAAAACAGTAACTTACAGAAGCAGAAATTAATTCAAGAAAAATTGGAACTGGAGAGATGTTACCAGATAACATGTAGTGAGTTGCAAGAAGTAAAGGCAAGGTATTGTCTGAAGTCAGATATCTCTCAGGTGTGGCTGTAAAGTACTGATATCAACTCTGTAAAGTATATGCCAAAATTATTCACCTTGTACATTAACTTTGGGAGGTTTCTAACCTAAACACTGCCATCTGTTTATTTTTTTAAAGTCCCACTTAACATATGAAGCATAATGCTTTTTAAAAAGTTTATACAAATGTAGATAATTATTTGACATACTGAAAGATAATGCATTTGGATTTGGTTGACTAAAAATTCCATTCTAGGAATTGATTTCAAATGTATTGGAAATATATTTTATTCTCTTATTTTTAGGCGCAATTCACTGCATAAAGAGAAAGATCATCTTATGAACGATTATGAGCAAAGTGTGAAGCTATTACAAAACAAGTATGATGCTGATATAAACCTTCTGAAAAAGGAACACACACTTTCAGTTTCTAAGGTATTATATATATGTTGGTATATATACATACAAAGTAATTTACTTTAGATGTATATATCATACAAAGTAGCTTTACTCCGCCTGTAGCCATAGGTAGCCATGTAGAAGCTATTTAGCATTGAAAATTAATCTTTCCTTTGCTTTATTCTTGAAATTACTAAAGTAATATTTATTGGCATTTAAAATACTTAAAATACTAAATGTCTAATATATAACATGACATAATATTTAATAAACTGTATTCTGCCATAATAAGTTAACCCTTGTACCAACATTTTTATAAAAGGAAACATAAAAATCTGAAAAGAAATGCTCAGTTGTGTTAATAATACATTTTTAGGCTGAATATATGCATTATTATTATTTTGACATCTTGGCTATGCTTTAGTTTTCTTAACATCCTATGCACACGTGTGAGCCCACACACACCCCCCTGGCACTCACACATGTTGTGTCTGAGAATTGACACTTTCTGCAAAGAGAATCCCAAAGCTACAATTCTCAGGTAGTCAGTTATGTGGTATTTCATGAATTGAATGTTCCAGTGCATTTGGTTTTACAATTTGAAAAGTTTTCTGTAAAACTATTTTTCTGTAAAACCAGCTATTTCTTCATTACTATTATATTTATATAACTTCAAACACTAAACAATTTAATATATGTTTTTACTTTAAAAGATGAATTTTTTAATTTTTAAAAAACATTTTAAATTCAGATTTACAGATCATTTTAATTTTGAGGAACCTTCAAGGTGGAAAAGGTAAATTTATTCAACCAGAAATTGTGAAATGGTACAAATTTTTTAGTTTTTTTCTTAAAATCTTTCTAGGCCTCTGGTACAATTAAAGAATTAGAACAGAACATCTGTCAATTAAAACTGCAGTTACAGGAATCAGAACTTCAAAGAAAGCAACAACTACAGGTGGGTCTTGTATTTGTTCACAGAATGGCTGAAACTCACTTTCAACTTTATTGTTGAAAGTATTACAGATGTACTCCTTTTATCCCCTGCCCATTGACACCCTCCATCCTCACTTTCCTTTTTCTTGATTTATATGTACAAATAAGAGTTTTAAAAAACTTAAAAATGTAAGTAGCTATTGCTGAGTCTTTTATTGCACATTGTATCATTTTTTTCATCTTATTTATCTTAACAAAAGTAGATGCTAATGGGATATAGGAAATAAAGAACAATAATTTTCCTTTGAATAATCTTTCTTTTGAAATTAAATTTAAAAATAAATTTTATTTAAATATATTCTTTTATTTTTATATATTTATGTATTTACATATAATTGACATACAGTAGCTTATTAGTTCCAGGTATACATCATAGTGATTTGATATTTAGATACATTAGGAAATGATTCCTACCATAAGTCTACTTACCATCTGTCACCATGCAAAGTTATACACTACTAGAGGCCCGGTTCATGAATTCATGCACCAGTGGGGTCCCTTGTCCTGACCTGCACCCTCTCACAATCTGGGACCCCTCGGGGGATGTCAGACGGCTGATTTCAGCCCAATCCCCGCAGACCAGGCTGAGAGACCCCCGACCGGTGCACGAATCTGTGCACCGGGCCTCTAGTATGCATATAAAATCTTTGGTTAATCTCTTCCTGCCCTCTCCCCTCCCCCTTTCCCTCTAAGATTCATCAGTCTGTTCCATGTTTCCATGCCTGTGCATTGAGCGTCTGTTCCCTGGTAGTCATTGTGCATCATAGCTACTGGTCAAATGGTCAAACGGTCAAACGGTTGCTTAGGCTTTTATAAATATAGATTATTGACTATATTCCTATGCTGTACATTACATCTCCATGACTTATTTATTTTATAATTGGAAGTTTGTAGTGCCTCTTAAGTTCCCTTATTTTCCTCTATTTTGTCCATTCCCCATCCCCGTTCCCTTTGGTAACCACTAATTTGTTTCCTGTATCTACGAGTCTTTCTGTTTTATTTATTTGTGTTTTTTTTTAGATTTTGCATGTAAGTGAAATCATATGGTATTTGTCTTTCTCTGCCTTATTTCACTTAGCATAATACCCTCTAGGTACAAAGAATATTTTCTCCCTTTGAGTTATCTGCCAATTCTCATGCTTTCTCTCCCTCTCTCTCCCTCTCTCTTCCTCTCCTCCTCTCCTTCTCTCCCCCTCTCCTTGTCTTGCCCTCTCCCCCTCTCTCCCTCTTCCCCTCTCCTCCTCTCCTATTAGATTTTTCCTTTCCCCCTCATGGTCAAAAAATGCCAGGAACTAGTATATAGTATAATTTCAAATTTATTATTTCTGTATTAATTCAGTTGGTCATTATAGGTAATCTCCTAATCCTAAGGGTCAGAAAGCTTCTCTTCTACTGTAAAGTATGTACTTTTAAGAGTAGTAATATCTTTAGATAACTAAGGTTTTATGACCTCTAACATAAACCTAATCATATTTTTGTTTAGAAAATTAGACTGGTAGGATGCTCTTACAAATATGTGAAACTCAAAGTTTGTCATCATGTAGATTTATTTATTTCATTAGATTACTAATTTTATTAATTCTAGTAGCAATTTTAAGTATAATAAAAATATTTATCATTCACAGGATCAAGAAAATGAGTTTCAAATGGAGAAAAGTAATTTAAAACGCACCTATGAAAAAAAGGTAATATATTTTGTGGGAAGCTACATTTGAAATAGAAAATGAAGCAATTAAGAATGAAGGTTGATTTTTATAAAGACATGCATTCTAGCCCTTAAAGAATAATTTATTCTAAGTTTATTTCAGCTAGTCAGTAATCAGATTTTACTTTTTTGTTTTTTATGTTTGTAAACAGCTTCAGTTCTATTATTAGTTATATCAACTTTAAAATACCACTTGTATATTTAATGAGCAAAGAGTAAAATTATATTTTCTATCATTTAAAAAATGTGATACAGTTTATGGGAGTCATTTGTATTTTATTGTATCATACATATACTAAGAACTCCAAATATTTAACCAAAGAATATAAAACATTGAAAGAGTTGTCTACTTTTTTGTCTACTAAAAAGTTGATTAGTGATTGTTTCTTGTCAATTAGAATAGTGAATATTCCTCCTGAAATAAGCTGGTATCCCTGTCATCAGTAATAACTGGGGTTCTTTGACACATTATTAACATCTTCAGCAATAAAGTGCAGAATTAAGTTTGTGATTTAACTTTGGTTTTTTAAATATATATTTTTTGTTGATTTTAGAGGAAGGGAAAGGGATAGAGAGATAGAAACATCCATGAGAGAGCAACATCGAGCAACTGCATCCTGCATGCCCCTTCCCGGGGATTGAGCCCACAACCCAGGCATGTACTCTGACCAGGAATCGAACTGTGACCTCTTGGTTCATGGACTGACACTCAACCACTGAGCCACACCAGCAAGGCCAGTGGTCAGCAAACTGTGGCTCGTGAGCCACATGCGGCTCTTTAGCCCCTTGAGTGTGGCTCTTCCACAAAATACCATGTGAGGGTGCACATGTAAAGTGTGATTGAAACTTCGTGGCCCATGCACAGAAGTCGGTATTTTGTGGAAGAGCCACACTCAAGAGGCCAAAGAGCCGCATGTGGCTCACGAGCCGCAGTTTGCTGACCACTGAGCTAGGCTAACTTAAGTTTTGAATTTCTTGTTTGCTATAAAACATAGAAAGTAAAAGAGTAGTTGAAATAGCAAAGATTTTGTTGCTGCTTTTGTAATGATTTACTGTTCTAACATATATCAAATTAAGCCATTTGTAAAATACACACATAATAGAAAATGCAAAAAAAGGTCAACCCTTCAACTAATTAAAAATACATACAAATGAAAAATTAAAAGATTTTATAGCACAAAATTCTTTAAAAACTGTAATATCACATCTTATGCACCCAATATAGTCACTCAGCAGATAGTCATTCAATGCTTTCATTGGTGAATATCATACTAGGGACTAGTGAGAGGGTAGAGGATGAATTAGGCATAGATGCTCTTTTCCAGGAGCTTACTGTCTAGGAAGAAGACTGTTTCTGTCATTTGGAAAAGTGTATATTTCCACGGACATGTATTGGTCTGAATATGTACTCTTTAAAATTATAATAAATTTTCTTATTGCTGAAGTTTTTTTTCTTGCTGCAGTTTGAATACAACTCAATGCAAGTTCTTAAATGTGCTTTATGTCTACAAAATGGCATCTGAACAGGAGAGGGAAATATTGCTTTCAGTAAAATGTAGAATTTTTCCATTTCTGCTGTTGAGCCATGCAGCTTCATACATATTTTACTTACCAAAAGAAGGCTTGCATTCTGAGAAGACTTGCTCCCCATGTAAAAGGAGCTACATCCTCTGGGTGTGCTTTTTAGTCCATTGTTCATTCTCTGGCCAGATAGCTGGCTTCCCGTCCTTTAAGGAACACCTTCCTGGCTCCTCACTCCAGCCTCCCACTCTGGCTCTTCCTGAGAGATGGTATCTGTGTACCTGTGAGACAGCGCGGGCTGGGCGCCAGGAGAAAGGCACACATGAACTCATTTTAAAAGAATGTGTTTCTATCCCAAACTCCTGTAAGTCCTACTGAGGGCAGTTAGATAGAGAGATAGAGCCAGAGTCTTCCTCCTACTGCCACCTCTGCTCGGTGCCTATCCCACCCGCTAGATGAACTAAAGTTATGGATCAGCCCCTCTGCCTGATGGACACAAACAAGAAACAGCATGAGAGAGCCCAGTTCATCCTTTGCAGTAACCTTCCCACCGTTCTGTTCTCATTCACTGCAGGTAGCAGGCCGAACCCTTGCCATCAGGCGTCCTAGCTACAGCTCCCCCTTTCCACACGGTCTCAACTGGCCTAGCTTTTTAATAACGGGACTAATTAAAGTGCATTAATTGTTTTCAGTGTAAATAAGACATGTTTAGAACAATGGCAGCCTCTAGAAGAAAAATAAGCTTATTTGTGTATCTTGCGTATGTTCCCACATTATTTATATTAGAAGAGAAAATGTTGCTCAGCATGTCCCTCTGTTTTACAATTAATTCCGTAATCTCCCCCTTTTAAATTGACATCTGTTATTCTGTCTTTATTAAACCTGCTGTGATCCCAGCCCTTGAAGATTTGATGTCTTGCACCCCCCTCAGGGAATATCCCTTCTGATGCTCAGAGCTGACATAAATCTTCTGTAGCCCTGGACTGTGTAACTGGAGAGTGAAGTGGGATGTGTAGGGCTTTTGTTTGCTAGACAGTGTTACAGGTGGGACAGGTGTGCGCAGCCAATAACTTTGGGTATAAAACTCCGTTCTGAGTATCTGTGCAGGAGGAGGAAATTCCATCTGAATGACACTATTTCCTCATGCCAATGAGAAAGCAGCACGAGAATCTAGCTTGTCTTTGAGGTGAGAGACACGCATCCGATGCCGTCCCTAATTTAAGCACACACATTATCTCAGGCTCTCTATTGATCTCTGGTGGCTATCCCCTGCTCTTAAGGTCTTTGAACATCAAACAAATAATAGGTAGTAAAACGAAATGTCATTGTTTGATGAAGTGTCCTAATCTGTTAAGTCAGGAAATGGTGAGGCTAAATGATTTTACTAGCAAGGAAACACCTGCCTCTGACAAATAGCCCATTGCTTGTTTTCCAGACAGGCACCAGAGAGAAAGAGATGGTGGTGTTTACCTAAAGCAGTTCATGAGGCAGATGTTAAGCATGGACTTTCCAGAATGTGTTAGAATGGAAATATCTACTTATAATAATTCTGATGTAACTCTCTAACAAGTGAGATATACAGTCTGATGGAGTTCAAAACCACGAAAAATAGTTATTCCAGTGTTTAGTGTGCATATATTCTTCTTTTAACTAGGTTAAAATAATTTAAGATTCTCACAGCTTGACACATAACAAATTGTGTAGTATTTTCTAACTACTACTGGCCTGATTTTCTTTACAAGGACACGTGCCTTGAGTGAAGTGTTTAGAAATGAATTTGTGTAGTCAAATGATTTCTAGAAGCCCTGCAGCCCAGAACCTATTTTTCATGTTGGGGAGTAGAGGTTGGAGCAATGAAAAGGAGCAGTGGAGGGACCCCGCTAGTTGATGTGTGGGGGCAGTCGCCGCTTCGTGCCCTTTGCTGTGCTGTGACGTCTGCCACAGTTCGCCTGTTTCCTTATATGCAGCAGAATACCTTTCTCATATACACAAGTACTCACTTCCTGCTGCCTTAAATTCTTAGGGTGAAAGGGAGTAAAATATCCATTTGGTAAGTGTGTTTATGGCTACTTAAATCTGAAATTATTTAAAACTTAAATTACTTGCCCTAACCAGTTTGGCTCAGTGGATAGAGCGTTGCCCTGCGGACTGAAAGGTCCCAGGTTCGATTCCGATCAAGGGCATGTACCTTAGTTTCGGGCACATTCCCAGTAGGAGGTGTGCAGGAGGTGACTGATGGATGTTTCTCTCTCATCGATGTTTCTGATTCTCTATCCCTCTCTCTTCCTCTCTGTAAAAAATCAATAAAATATGTTTTAAAAAAAACTTAAATTACTTAATACAATCTCATGTTTGAGAATATATGCTGTATCCTTGACTTTGTGGTTTGGTTTTCATTATTTATTAAAATTCATTTTGGATATTAACAATGTATAGTGGGGGAAGGGTTACAAGCAAATTAATTCAAGCCTTATCCTTCACTGCTATCAGTACATTAAAAAGGACAGCATTTGCCCTGGCTGGTTTGGCTCACTGGATAGAACATCCGCCTGGGGACTGAAGAGTCCCAGGTTCGATTCTAGTCAAGGGCATGTACCTTGGTTGCGGGCACATCCCCAGTAGGGGGTGTGCAGGAGGCAGCTGATCTGATGCTTCTCTCTCATCGATGTTTCTAACTCTCTATCCCTCTCCCTTCCTCTGTAAAAAATCAATAAATATATATATTTTTAAAAAGGACAGCATTATCTGTGTTACCCACAACTATCTGAGACCTGGGTAGAAGCTGGAAATTTAACCCAAAATGGCCCTTAAGTATACGATGCGAATATATTCATTTAAGAACAAACAAACAAACAAACAAACACAGAACAGCATTTGTTGGCTATTCTAGTGAGAGCCAGGTGTTGGTTGTGCTGAGTGCTGGGGATATAAAATAAACGAGAAACAGCTTCTGGCTTTAGGGAACCCCAGCTCAGAAGGCTGTGCTTTGACACATGGATGTATGACTCAGAGGGAAGGCTCTCCTCCTTCCGTTCAGATGGGTCCATTCCTGCCATAGAAGCGGTTCTAATAGAAGCATAGATTAGGTCGAGGTGCTTGCATTAGGGCACTGACCACACATCAGGAAGTGGCCGCTGTTCACTGACAGAGATTGAGTGAATTGTGAAGGAAAAAAAGCACTTGCAAGAACTCAGAATTCTTAGCAATTCAGGGGCCATTTTCTGAAAGGACAGACAGTCCATCTAAGGGAATCACTGGATGGGGGCATACTGTGATTTTGGGTAATCATAATGACCTTGAGTTTTCAAGAAAATGTTTGTGTATAGAGTATTTAATCTAAGAAGGTGATAATTTTTTATAGTTGTTGAGCATTTATTATGTTCTCAATGTTGTTCTATGAGCTTTACATGGAGTAACATGAACTCCTCACAATGTCAATATACACCCTGTTGTCCCCATTTCTCGGATGAGGCAGCTGAGGCACAGTGTGCTGAGTAACTTGTGAAGGTGGGGGACAAACTCATGCAGTCTGACTCAGAGCTTGTACTCATAATCACCTTATAATTTTAGATCGAGTTTTCTCAAAAATGATTAATTTTTTGAAGCTTTCACTTAAAGGAGTAAGTCTCAATTATACTTTCATACAGGGTTCTGAGTCCCAGAAAACAATTGAGCAGCCAATACAGGGGAAACCCCTCCTAGCCCAGCACATTGGAGGCACAGTCCAGCATGTAAAGTACCAGTGACTCATCAGAGACTCTGATGGCGGCTCCTTGTTAGTTCCCTGTGTAGTAATGTATTGTTCAGAGGACAGGGAGAAGTAGGCTGTGGGTGTGAAGAAAAACTCCTCCTCAGTAGAAACCCCCAAACCCTCCTGGGGATTTCCTGGGAAGTGGATTTTAACCACAGCTCTGAGGAGGAGACCACACTGGGAGACATAATAGAAGCAAGGTTATGCCCCCTGCAGTTGTCAAGCACCAATCTTAACAGATATACACTTCAAGAATGAGTAGGAGAAAAGCCAAAATGGGTCAAAGAATATAGGGTTTTTGAGTTAACTAGATCTCCATCCAAACTATTATAAATAGCCAACTACAGGTACTTTTGGCTAACACTGATTCAGAGTTTGGGAAGGTGTGGGGTGTGTGTGTGTGTGTGTCTTTTGTTGGTTTGTCATCCCTCTCCTATCCCCTTACCCAGCAGTTGCACGTTCAGCCTCACCTGGGCTGGTGGCAGGTGTGTAGCTGGCTGGCATCTGCACCCCTCTAAGTGATGAGTTTTCTTTCCTGCCAGCTGCTCTGCACCCTCAGTGGCCATGTATGTGGAGCCATGGCTGCTATTTACTCCTCCTGCTCCCTCCAGCTGTACCAGAGTTGCCTTCTCCTATTTCTAGATCCATTTACGTCTGCATCTGCATATGAAGAATTTCCTGTGAAGCAAAATTTTCATTTGTTATTATTACTCATGCTGCCAACCCACCTACTGAAAGGATGCCACATCTAGGAAACAGATACTCATGGTGGGGATTTCCTCCCAAACTCAGTGAATAGTTATAGGAATCGTTCCCAGCAGCAAAGACTGTTTCATCATCACCTGTATGAGTTTGGGAGTAGAGGCACGTTCTTACTTGTGTTCTCCTGAATCGTATGAAATTCCTTTCCTTTGGCTAATATGTAACTGTTTAAAAAATTCAAGTTATTCCTCCCTTTTGGAGTGTTTTACATGTCAGTCTATTTCACAGGAAATCCACATGCAGGGAGACTCAAACAGTTACTAACTTTGATCAGAAAAATGGTGTTGGAAATAGAGTATTAAAGTAATTATATGCTAAATGATTATGGTTAGTCCAATTTCTATTTTGAAATAGCTAAGTCTAACTTTATATGAAAATGGACTTAAGATTGCTGTGTCATTGTTTGTACTTCTCATTTGAGCAAACTTTCCTTGTCTTCTGATACGTGTACCACGTCTTGTCATGGCAGGTTCACGACTTGCAGAGTGAGCTTGATAAAGAAAAAGAAGATACTCAAAAGAAAATCTATAAATTTGAGGAAGCTTTGAAGTGAGTAAAATTGTAATTTATTTAATTTAAAAAATACTCTTAGCCTTACCTGGTTTGACTCAGTGGATAGAGCGTTTGCCTACAGACTGAAGGGTCCCAGGTTCGATTCCGGTCAAGGGCATATGCCTGGGTTGCCAGCTCAATCCCCAGTTGCCAGCTCAATCTTTCATCATTGATGTTTCTGTCTCTCTCTCCCTTCATCTATGAAATCAATAAAAATATATTTTTTAAAAATATGCTTAGTCTAAATTGTGAGCCAAATTAAATAGCTAGCACCTAAACACCATATTTTTATAATAGCCTTGCTGTGATTTAGTTTGAGTCAGTTTCCATCATGAATCTCTATTTTCAGAATTTTATTGCTAGCCAGTAATTTTTTTAAAAAAAGGAGAAATCAGCTGTTTTTAGTGATAGGGATGTAAGAAAATAGAATGTAGTAGTTTTATATGCTTTCTTCTTCTTAAGTGAAAACAGATTTTTAAAAAACAGTAAGACTTAGGTCTTAGAACATGTGGAAATTCCTCTGTAGATTTTGGAGAAATGTGGTAATGCAGTCCCCCAGTCATATCTGAAGATGAACTATGCAGGCATTGTTCAGGAAAGGCTCTGTCTCATGACACCTGCTCAGTAAAAGGTAAACACGCACATTAAAACCTCTGTCTCACTTGTCTTCTCCATTGGTTCACAAGTTGATTAGGCCCGGCTGATCACTAGGCTTTATCTTGCAGTTTTCAGGTGGAAAACATTGATTTGCTCAGTAAGTGTTGCGTTCCCACAACGTCGCAGCAATGCATAGCCCTTCCCAGAGGACCTTGTAGTTGGGTTGGGAAGATATTTAAGAGCTTTGGCAGTTACACTACAGAGTGATAAGAACCTGAATGGGAGACAGGTTCATAGACCCAAGAAAGTGATTTAAGAAGGGAAGCTTACTTGAGTTCAGTGTATCTAGCTAACTCCCAAAGAACCAGCTAATTCCATTTTTCTTGCTTCCAAAAACCTACAAGCAGGAATCACATACAGAAAGGCCAAAAAGAATACCCAGGATCAAACAAACTTAGTATCAGATTCTTTCTGGGAAGATTGCATAGCCATTCCTTCCGCCTCAGTTTTTGTTAAAATGTATTGGCTGAGTTGCTAATAGAACATTTAAAATAATTTGTGTATCATGGCATCATAGGCTATCAATTTTTTTATCAACACAAGACGCATTGCTTATTTGTTCACATCACCACGTGTGAATTAGATAAAATCAGAAGAGCACCATAATATTCATTAAACATTAAGTCAACCATCAAGTTTGAATAATGACAAAACTAGGGATTCCTGCTTTCTTTATAGATGGGATGGCCTTCCTTTATCCCTCATTAATTTATTTTTTCCTCCTTAAAATGTTGATTAACAACTTTTAATAGCAGTAAATGAACAAATACATATTTGTTTAGTACTGACAATGTCTATATGTTGTAGTATCATACTAAAAGAAAGAGAAGGCCTAGAAGGTATATCTCAAGACATGGACTGCTCCTAAAGATGTCAGAGTCTAGATTAGGCATTTGAAATACTTAGGGTACTAGGTTGACTGAGTTGCTAATAGAACAGGTTGAGTTGTTTTCAGTAAGTACCATTGGAATTCAGAAAGTTTTTTTCAGTGGGATATTGGGAGTTTGTGTAAAACAGTGTGGTGCTTTTTAATGTTCACTGATTATGAAAGGACCTTGAAATCTCAATAGTTTTCTATATACAGCATAATCATTTCCTGAGCTAAGTAACACTCTTTATGGCTTTAAAGGTCTTTACCAAAATACCAAATTTTACTTGGAGTTAAAAAAGCAATTTTAGATTTTTAATAAAATTCCCTTGTAGATCTGTTTCTCCCATTCCCTATGTTAGTGATGTCTTCATTTTGACTGAATGTATGATCCTCACAATACAGCACCTGGATAGCAGATGTAATCTGGTCCGAAAGCAGAGTGAGTTATTGTGTGGTCTGAAATTCAAAGTAAACAGCACAAGCTGGCTATTTTCCCAAAGGAAAATATTCTTGGGATGGGGCTTGGGGGCTGCTGCTGCTTTTGAATACAAGAATAGAATTAGACCCAGTTACTCCAGAAATAGTTCCACTTTTCTAAAAGATAGCTATATTATATAGAAATTTACATTGACACACACACACACAAAGAATTATCAGTTTTAGAGTGCGGTGGTATTCATTCATTTAATCATTCTTTCACTCAGCGAGGGTTTATTTGCATGTTGTATGTATAATGGATGATATCAGAGAATAGTTACTAGATCATTGTAATCCTTTGGTGGTGTCATGTAATATTGATTTCCATGTTCCTTGAAGTTCTGAGTTGCTTTCCTCTCCTTTGGAGCAGCAGTTACCTCCTAGGGGTCTTTAATAACTGCCTTTTGGAGAGAAATACCTTCCTTCAGTCCTGCTAGTTACTCTGAGGCTTTCTCAGACCTTCTAGGTTATACTTGCTCCAAGCTTCTTCCTCTTCTTGTAGCAGAATTCTTTGCTCATATGCCGTTTCTTGATCCTGCAACATATCAGGTCAAGTGGTGACAGCCTCTACTTTGTTTTAACAAAAGTGGTGTGAAAGCTCAAGTTTGTGGTTTCTCCCTGGCCCTCAGATTTGGGCCAGCTTTCTGTGGGTTCTCCCTGGCCATCTGCTAGAGCTCACTCTGGCTGCCACCATTGGGAGCATGCACAGGGAGCCCGCCACAGGTTGGGGGTATATGTGGGTAAGATGCAGAGTGCTGGGGTGGCTGTGGCCCGTTGGGGGGATCTGTGGGTAGGGCATTCCCAGCAGCTTGTGGGTGGACTTCTTGATGGAGCCCATGGTGCAGTTAGTAGGATCCGTGTCCCTGCTGTACCCTCCTGAGAATCCTTCCTACCTTTCTCACAGCCTCTTTCGTTACCCTCATTATGCAAATCAGGATCCAGTTCTCTGGATGGGGCAAGAGAGAAATGGGCCTCTTTTGCTCAGCATTTAGGTTTATTAGATATATTGTTACATAACATTGTAGTTTATTAATTCTCACTTATTTTTTTTTAATATATTTTATTGAGTTTTTACAGAGAGGAAAGGAGAGAGATAGAGAGTTAGAAACATCGATGAGAGAGAAACATCGACCAGCTGCCTCCTGCACACTCCCCACTGGGGATGTGCCCGCAACCAAGGTACATGCCCCTGACCGGAATCGAACCTGGGACCCTGCAGTCCGCAGGCCGACGCTCTATCCACTAAGCCAAACCGGTTTCGGCTTAATTCTCACTTATTGAATAGCATTATAAAGTGAATATACCACAGTGTATTTATCCATTCTGCTGCCACTATCCATTTTGGCAGTTTCTAGTTTTGGGATATTATTAACTAGAGGCCTGGTGCATGAATTTGTGCACCAGTGGGGTCCCTCACCTGGCCTGCACCCTCTTGCAATCTGGGACCCCTCGGGGGATGTTGGACTTCCGGTTTCAGCCCAGTCCCCACAGGCCTTGCTGAGGGACCCCACCAGTGCACGAATCCATCCACCAGGCCTCTAGTATGCATATATGATCTTGGTTAATCTCTTCCCGCCCTCCCCGCTTCCCCCTTCCCTCTGAGATTCATCAGTCTGTTCCATGTTTCCATGACTGTGCATTGAGCATTTGCCCCCTGGTGGTCAGTGTGCATCATAGCTACTGGTCGAATGGTTGAACGGTCACTTAGGCTTTTATATATAGTGATAGTATCGCTATGGACATTCTTATTATGTTTCTTTTGTAAACACACATACACATATCTGTTAGATATATATCTGCATCTAATGCTTATGTTGTGCCAAGTATGACACATACGGGGGAAGGCTAGACCTTTAGGTTATTCAGCGGCATTATCAAAGAACCAATTGAAGTGAATGGTAATTCAAGTTGGTTTGGGACTAAAGAGAAGAAGTTACTGGAGGCCTTTCCTCACTTTTACTTCATCCAGGTGTAGTTTTGAACCTCTAGTTCTGAGAACACAATCATTACCATTACATCAACCTTATTTATGTAGGGGGATCTGAGACATAACTGATCTGATTTGTGGACCTGCTGATTGGTGAATGGATAATCATAAACCAGTTGAGAAAGTATTTCAAGTAAAGAAAAAGTATGAAAATTTATTAAGGGCTTCTTTTATTAAAATATATTTTATTGACTTTTTACAGATAGGAAGGGCGAGGGGAGAGAGATAGAGAGTTAGAAACATCGATGAGAGAGAAACATCGATCAGCTGCCTCCTGCACACCCCCTACTGGGGATGTGCCTGCAACCAAGGTATATGCCCCTGACCAGAATTGAACCTGAGACCTTTCAGTCCGCAGGCCAACGCTCTATCCACTGAGCCAAACCGGTTAGGGCAAGGGCTTCTTTTTACATATCCTGGTTTTCTTTTTTATATTGCTCCCTCCACTAAAAATTTCTGTTATTGCCAGCTCTTTTTTATTTTTTGTAAATGTGTAATCATATTTTCATATACCATTGCTTCAATAAGTGCAGTTTCACTTGCACATGGAATTTTTATATATTTTTATTGATTTCAAAGAGGAAGGGAGAGACAGAAACATCAGTGATGAGAGAAAATCATTAATTGACTCTCTCCTGCATGCTCCACATTGGGGATTGAGCCCACAACCCTGACTGGGAATTTAACTGTGACCTCCTAGTTTACGCAACCGCTAAGCCATGCCGACTGGGCTACCCATAGAATACTTAGAAACAAGTTCTTAATGTTTTCTAAGTAATTCAAACTGTTCTTGAATTATATTTTTATTTGACCTGTTCTGAAGCCAACTTTCAATGGTAGTCATACTCAGTGAATGTTCACCATCTGGTTTGTTGAAATCATTATATAAAATTATTTATTTATACAAAAATTAGCAGCGCCTCTTCTTTTGTCTGTCTTTATCTATAGTTTTCTTTAAAATGAGGAAATTCATGTAATAGTTTTGTAGTATTTTTCCAACAAACT